ATGGTAGACTTACTCAGACGTATTCTATACAAAATTGATCTGTGCGGGCTTCAAACCCGTTGCCCTCAGCGCCGCAACTAAATTCTAATCCACTACGCCTCTGTGCCGTCAATAACAATTATACATACATACACAAACACACACACACACACACACACACACACACACACACATATATATATATATATATATATATATATGGCACAGAGGCGAAGAGGTGTGTGTGTGTGTCTGATCTTGATCCCTTGATATAAACCTGGTTTTTGATCAAGAACCGGAAGAAGACATTATATGGATATGTTAAATATATATATAATAATTATTAAAAGAAAGGAAATGTAAAACAATTATCGCTTCAGCGGAATTTCTTGATGCAAAGTCGAACATTTTATTTTTTTTATTTTTATAGAATAAGGGTGATAAGCGAGCACACAGTCCACCTGATGGTAAGTGGTTGCTGTGGCCCATAGACATCTACATTTATCCTCGATTACGAATTAAAATGCAGATGCGTTGTCACCCGTGAGGACTAAGATGGAGTGCCTATTTTCCAGTAAAAGGGGTCTCCGGTTCTCTACACTCACCATACGAAACACAGCAGCATTAAGCTGCTATTTTACGCTGGTATTCTGTGAGAGCGTGGTCCTTCCCTGGTCGAGCCTACCCATTCATGTTACAACTATACCAGAAATATAGCTGCAGCATGGCTCTACCACGTTTAAACAACTTAATTTACGGCGTTGCCACAGCTGACATTTTCCTTTGCATTTCCTTATCTTAAAAGTGTTTATTTTGCCCTACTAACGTCAACTGCAACACCATTATCTCCAAGACCGATCACTAATATTCCATTACGAAAAACTTTGTTGACCTTACACAAAGTAACCTTTTATCTTTCAAAACAATAAATTAATAGCATCACTACGACCTTTATATTAACAAAATATTCTATTTGTTTAATTTTACCTCTACACTATGATTTTCTTCTGTATCGTGGGCAGTTTTTACATATACGAGTTTCACAAGGACAAACTTCCTGACCTAAAACAATTATTTGTAGGTCATACAAAACTTGTTCAGTGCGGAATGGAACACGCGCCCCTTAGCGTTGCAACTCATATGCCACGATACCGTCAGAAATAAAAATACTAAAAATTGACTTTATTTTTATAGAACAAAGGTGAGAAATGAGCACATCGACACCAGCAATTTATACTAAGCTAACTCATAAAAGTGAACTTTACAGTAAAGGCATATGAAGGGAAAAACGTGATAACTTTTATATTAATTAAGACACTTATTTGAAATTTGGTATGCTTAATATTTAATTTATTCGTCGTAATTTCCCATATTTATTTTTCCTTAATTATTTATATTCTTTGATTTAGCGCAAATTAGCCGTATATACACGTAATTCCTCAATAAGATTTTACATATTACACACGTCTAACTAATGTTAGCGTAGAGTATTACGGGAGATCGTAGTGCTAAAGAAGTGTTATATTTTTTGCTTTGCAATCATAATTGTAAAGTATATTATGCATTAATTATAACCTTTGGTTTTTATATATATTCACAAGCTATATAATTATAAATTCTTATGCTAAATAACAAGTTATTAAAGTTAGCTTTATTTAACCGGTACATGCATCACTGGCGCATATCGTATTAAAAGCCGTCAAATTATATATAGCGTACTATACATCGACGTTAGCATATCATTTTTAACTTTCCGTTGAGCTATAATACATGTAGATTTTTATAAATTCTTGATAAATTCTGCTGATAATATTATTTTTTGTAGGTAAATATATAATTAAAACAAAAATAGTAATCAACTGTTTATTTAAATTTCAGGTAAGTAAGTACTAATTAATTATTAACGATAAGAGATCGGATTAATCACAGTTCCACTTCGTATATTATATTTAAATCAAGATTGCACATAATTGTTATTCTTAATAAAAAACAAAAACTTCTAAGTGGTAAATATAAATCAAATAATTTAAACAGTATGTTGTAATCATTACGTACTTATAATCATTCAAACCTCATCATCAGTTACATTCTTCTCATCATATTCAGTTGTTAATAAATTCCTGTAAAATGTATGATACTTTTCGGGTATAATATTATTATCACAGTAGTACTTTAAATCTTTATATTTTGCTACATAAATTTTTAACAAAGTTTTGTGTGCGTTTTCGGGAAAAGGCTCCAAGTGGAATAATCTAGTAGATGTCTTTTTAAAACATTGTATTTGATTGCTTTCTTTATCACCTAAACTATACTTATATTCCAACAACCCGTAATTATCGGGAGAAACTTCAATTTTTTTTTACTTTATTCCATATAACTTTATCGTTATTTAAATTTTCAGTCCAATTTTTTTGCTAATATTACTTTTAAAATCAAATATCATGTTTTGATTAACCTCGATAACATTATGTGGATTCCCATTGACCTTTGCCCATCGTACTAGTGAATACCACTCATCCGGCGAATATACCTCTCTATCTCTTGCAGTTTTTTCTATCACAGCGTGAACTGAATCTCCTTCATTCTGTGTATGGCCCTTTTCCATAAAATGGTGGCTTATCTTCATTTTAAAATGTTTAGCAGCTAATAAGTACATATAGTAAACAATACGGTTACGATTTTGTCCCCCACAGTTGTCTGACCATAGATTGACTTCGTGAACTCCTTTAGAAGCTAATTTAATAAGAAAATCGTATAAACAACTAGCCACTTCATAAGCCCCCCTCTTAGCCTTTGCTCATCCCACATATAACAAAACGCTTCTTTTGATCCCATATTGTAAATTGTAAAATTATATACATTGAGCTTACGCCTATAGTAATACACACTTATATTACCATGTGGTGAGCTTAAAACTTTTTGAAATACAAATACAATACAAACTACTTTGTTACTAGAGACAGCTAACAGCTTACATTCTAATTTTAATTTACGGGAAATTTCTTTTTCTGTTTGATGTTTTGTGAAGTTTTCTTTCAATTCATCTGTAGGGCTAGATGTATTTTTGTACTGATGACAGATATCGCATTGGTCTTTTTTTGGTAAATAAAAACCTATCTTGAAATTAGTATTAACAACATCTATATACTGTCTTACTGTCTGTACTCTAACATTATAATTATTATCAGAACACCATCCATGATACAACTTAAACATTTTAGAAAAAGATAAAGAAGGTTCTAAGTATTTTTTACTCGTACGTTTTCTAACGTAGTGAGATAATAATAATAATAATCTTTATTTGCAAGAATATGGTTGTACAATGGTGTTTGAGTATAATTCGTTCTACATATTCTACCTTAGTGCTGTGCAAATATTAACGGTCAAGTAACCTAAACAACAACACTTATCGAATTTAACAAAATATATTAATTTAACAAAATATAAAATTATTTAATATTATTTAGTTGATTTGATAATTAATTTATTATGCCACAGTGTCAGAAAATGCCATCAAATATATAAGTAAGTATTATTATGTCAAGTAAGATTATTATTATAGGTCAATGTCATATATTAATTATTATTCTTATGTCAATAATTAAATAATGTTACATATCCAATTGTCATTAATTTCTTTCTATTTTTACATCAAATTTATTAATTAATTAAATACATAAGTCAAATTTTATATAAAATAATATCAAAAACATTATTTTTTTAAACATTGGAATCTTGTAATTATGTAATTAATCATATTCTAAAATTATCATTCATTACTCGTATGTAGGTCGTTGTCGTTTAAGAACTCTTCTACAGAATAATAACATTTAGTGAGCAACAATGCCAAAACAGATTTCTTATATGACAATAAACTTTTACGCTTAAAATTATCAGGTAATTTATTATAAATTCTTATCGACATTGCAGAAGCATTTCTTTTTGTAACTTTTAGACGATTTGCTGGTGCATATAACCTATTCTTGTATCTACCCTTACTTTCACTCACTTCACACTTACGTTGAAATAAATGTGGATGCTTATGAACAAATTGATGAGATTCAACAGGGGTGAAAGAATTAACGTGATCTATGACACTCTCTTTCATTTCATTTGAATAGTTATGGTTTTTATGCCGACCTCTGTCGTCAGTTACATGAGTAAAATCATTGTTTTCTTCGATTTTTCATATTGCAGTATACACAAAATCTTTACTAATATCAAAAGTGTTCAAGAACATTGTTTTGCAAACTTTTTGTAATATGATACCATTGTCAGAATTTATAGGAAGGAGATAATGCAAAGTGTGTGATCGACGACTAGATTCGCTTTCAACATTAGTGGCAGTCTTTTTACTTTTTTGTATTACATATTTGGCAATGATTTTCCATTGTTTTGCGTGATCACCAGTATCCCAAAACTTATCAAAAAGGTCAATACGAACTTCTTGGCTTATTTTTTTATAGCATTGCAGACGACAATTGACACAACTGACTTTAATGCTTCTTGGTGCTTTAGTTTTCCATTTTGACGTAGTATACTGCAATCCTTTGTTACACAAACGTTTTCTCTTTCTACTTATCCACTCATCTTTAAGTTTAAGACGTTTGAGACCCACATCAGTTCTTTTTTTAGATCTACGTTTATTATTTTTTGAGGTCGATACTGCAGAATAGTCACTATAATTAAACGTTGCAGGCGAGGAAATTGAATTACAGGGAGTAGATATTGCCGATACTGAATCTGTGTTATTGCTGAGGCAGTTAACCATATGCGAATCGGGAAGACTTTCCTGGAAGGACGTACTGATTTCTGGCCTGAGTGTTCTATCTTCGGTTTCTTGGCAAGAAGTCGGCACTAAAGTACCGTTTAAACTTTGTGAAGATTCCGAAAAATCACTATAAGGTGAAGGTACGGGGGTATTATCTATGCTGTCAGAAGGATCATTAGAGACGAATGAAAACAAAGGTGATCGATAATTGGTGGAGTTAATGTCAATGGAGAAGGATTTTGGGTTGAAGTCAATACATTTGGTGAATAAATATTAAGTGGAGTTTTAGGAGCCCCAAGTTATTCAAATTTATATCTTGTAATACTACATCATTTTTGTAATTTTCTATATCTCGGCTTGCAGAACTGACTATAGAATAATCATGCTCTTGAATAGGCTCTTCAAACATGACGTGATTATACAAAACCACGAATTCAGGATTATCAACTTCAGCAGGTAATTGCGAGGATTCTATAACAATAGGGATAATGTGTTAAAATCATATGAATATTATTGTAAAAAACATGTACATTAAAAATATACTCAAGGTACCATCAATAAACTAATTAACACTCGTTTTTACATAAGTATTTACAACGGTAAAGTCGCTAAGTAGTGCATTTTACAAACGAACAAGTATACACGAACGCACTAAACTACGCTAACTAAGTGTTAGCGTAGTGTTACACGGATTCTGAGCTAAGCGGCTCAAATTTTCAAAAAACGTGGCGTATTACTATAAAACATAATTATGTACTTTGACCTACACTGTAACCCTTAATAACACATTAAACTTACCTCTCTCGTCAGTATGAAGTGGTATCTCACCATTTTTATCAAAACTCTTCAATGAATTTTTCTCCTTTTTGGCTAAATCCACTAAATATTTTGCTCGTTTTCGTGACATTTTTGTATTAATAAATTAACACTAACAATATTTTAAATAACTAACGTTAGATGAATTATAATTTACTAATAAAGTTTTTAAAACCGCGCAATCACATCTAACACAGCGACAAGTGTCGTTAGATTAATGTAAACAAACAAGCGGTGCGTGCCCCTCCCGTGCACACTCCGCTAATAATAGTTAGCGTAATTTAAATTGAGTGATTTCGAAAAGTACCTTTACCTAGCGTTGTATAAGATTTGTAACTTCGTTATTTTTGTATATTTCTTCACGATTTTTTTATTATATAGAAAAATAGACATTTTAAGCAACTTGGCATAAAAAGACGAATTTCCCTAAAATTCGAGTTAGCGTAGTATAAATTGTTGGTGTCGATTTTATAGTCTAGTCTGAAACACAGTTTAAAATGAAATATTTGCGATTTCTGTGTGACATGATGGTATTTGATCAGTGTGAATGTTATCTCTGTTATAGAAGAACATAAGTTTCTCTGCGTGAAAAATTTAGAAATAAGGACATCAGCAGTAGAACCAGAATAATAGACATATTCCAAAGTAACAGTAAGCTGAAGAGGCAATGGGCCGGCTATATAGCTCCATTGGTTCTTCGATTGACGAAGAACAGACAGGTAAGGAGGTGGACGACCTGGTGAGAAATGCAAGAAGTCGATGGATTCAGGTAGCTCAGAAGCATTCTTTGTGGCATTCCTTGTGGGAGGCCTTTGTTTAGCCGTGTACTTGTAATGGGCTGTAACGATTATAAAAAGAGCATACAGTGAAATTCTGAACCTACTCCTTTTCTTGAAGTTGGTTAAACACTTTGAAAAATTAATAAAACTATGTTTATGTGTATTATTTTCAACATCATGTTTAATAATCAGTGTATTATTTTATATTAAAATATCATGACAAAAATCAATGCATTATATCAATGCTCGATATTAATGACTGGCTTAACCGAGGCAGATAGTAAAATAAACTGCAAAGCTTTCAATATAAATCGTGTTTGAATGTTCACAAATTTATTAATTCCCCAAATTATGGTGATTATCGAATAGTTCAGCATTTTATCTATACATATAAATGAAATTGATGTGTCAGTCTGTATATATCGCAATAACTGGCTTTTATTAAGCCCGGGGTTTATTTGCATGTAATGAAGGTAAACATAATAACTCCATATAAATACTACAGAATGTATTATGTATAGTATATTAATTATAATGTATAGTGTTATTAATTAATCTTAATAACCACGAATTTAAGAAAATCCTAAAACAAACTCTTAACGGCTTGAATTACAATGTGACTGATGATTTGTACTCGAAGATCACTTAATAACACACACAACAACACACACACACACACACACACACACACACACACACACACGCACACGCACACGCACACACACACACATGCACACACGCGCACACACACGCACACACGCAAACGCACACACACACACACACACACACACACACACACACACACACACACACGCACACACGCAAACGCACGCACACACACACACACACACACACACACACACACACACACACACACACATACACACACACATACACACACACGCACACGCACACACAACTTGGCGCGCAACTTGGCCTTAGAATAGAATTAGTACCATATTATTACTTTTTATATATTTTTTTATAGGATAAGGGTGACAAACGAGCATACAGTCCACCTGATGGTAAGTGGTTGCTGCGGCCCATAGACATCTTTATCTATCCTCTATTACAAATCAAAATGTAGATGCGTTGCCACCCGTGAGGACCAAGATGGAATGCCTCATTTCCAGTAAAATGGGCCTCCGGCCACCTGCACTTGCCAAGCGAAACGCAGAGGTAAACCTCTACTTCACGCTGGTTTTCTGTGAGGTGTTGGTACCACCCCGGTTCGAGCCGGCCCATTCGTGCGACAGCAAAAGCTGCCGCGTGGCTCTACCACTGTTAATATTATTTTTATTATTTCTTTACAATACTAATATACATTATAATACTTTGACAATAGATGGGGAATTCTGAGGCCTGTAGCACAGTTTTAACTAATGCAGGCTTCAGAGCTCTAAAATAACTGTAACTATAATGTAATGTATGTTAAATAAATTTCATTTCATTTCAAATTTCATTCTATCCAGGGAAAGCCGCGGCAGGTCGCTAGTATTATATATTCTCGTGGGTAGAGTCACCTTTACATATTATTTCCAATTTCTTTTGAAAATTGAATGTAGAAAATCATTATTTAGAGCTTCAAACGCAATGGCATTTCCTACTCAAACGTAAAGGGACGATGCGCGATTATAAAGAACGCCGAAAATGGATATCAAAAAGGAAATGTAATGATGAAAGCATTGTAGGCTATGATGAAATAATTACGAACAGGAATAAAGATAACGATATAAGCGGAATGAAATTAATTTTCTCTTATGAAATTTAAGTGACGAACGAACTCACAGTCCACATTTATATGTGATAGAGCCACGCTACGGTTATGCTATGGTTGTAGCACGAATGGCTTGGCTTGACCGGGGTAGGACCACGCACTTACAGAATTTTTTCTCACAGAAATTCATGCTGCTGTGTTTTGTATGGTGAGTATAGAGATGCCAAGACCCTTTTTACTGAAAACGAGGCATTCCATTTTAGTCCTTTTAATTAAGGATAAATGTAGATATCTGTAGGCCACAACATTCACTTAACATCAGGTGAACTGTGTGCTCGTGAGTGTAGAGTCCCTTACTATTGGAAATGAGTCATTCCATATTAACACTCAGGGGTGGCGATGCATTTGCATTTTGATTCTTAATCGAGATTCAATGTTAATTTCTATAAGTCATAGCGTCAACTTGCCACGTGAATATGTCGACACCAACAATTTATACTACGCTAACTCGAATTTTAGGGAAATTCGTCTTTTTATGCCAAGTTGCTTAAAATGTCTATTTTTCTATATAATAAAAAAATCGTGAAGAAATATACAAAAATAACGAAGTTACAAATCTTATACAACGCTAGGTAAAGGTACTTTTCGAAATCACTCAATTTAAATTACGCTAACTATTATTAGCGGAGTGTGCACGGGAGGGGCACGCACCGCTTGTTTGTTTACATTAATCTAACGACACTTGTCGCTGTGTTAGATGTGATTGCGCGGTTTTAAAAACTTTATTAGTAAATTATAATTCATCTAACGTTAGTTATTTAAAATATTGTTAGTGTTAATTTATTAATACAAAAATGTCACGAAAACGAGCTAAATATTTAGTGGATTTAGCCAAAAAGGAGAAAAATTCATTGAAGAGTTTTGATAAAAATGGTGAGTGTTAGGTTTATTTACTCGAACATACACATGTACATACAAAGAGACATAAATATTATAAACATACATCAATGCATAATATACGTACACGTAACAAATGCTCACAAACACATACATAATAATACGTATACCACTCCTAATCCATGCTTAGCGAATTTAAAGGCTAATTGTTTATTTTACAAATGCAGTCTGAATAAATCGTTACTAAAGAACACACGCCTCTTTCTGTCAAAATCAAGTAAATCAACAGTGTACCTTAAGAACACAAACATATGGTCCATTTTCGAGCCGAATAGAAGCGATCGGAGAACGGTCGACGACGCTGCCGCGAGAACAAAAGACTGCATTCCTTTAGAGATAAGACGGCCGAGTTATTGAAAAGCAACACTGTTTTGCAAGATTTGTGTTTCATCACTTTACTTTCGATAAATTTAATCGTGGTGTACAATGACTACGGAAGTTTTAAAAGCGTTAAGTACTGTAGAAGACATTGCACAAATATTAAAGAAGACTCAAGTAAACCTAAAAAAATGTCCTAAAGCAAGATTAACTCCTATTTATGCCGAAGCGCGTCTTAAGTGTGTCGAAGAATATTGGATGGATTATAGAAAAGCTTATGGTGATATAATTAGTCACACCCCAAAAGAGAAAAGAGATTTGGTGCCGTACTTTGCAAAGGAGGAATTTTACGAACACGAAGAGTTATATATTACGTTAAAGGCGGAGCTACAAGATATTATAACTTCTCAACCAATTAATACATCCATACCAATTATGAGTGAATGTCAACAACCACGCGTCGTGTTACCCAATATACAAATTCCAACTTTTAGTGGGCAATATGAAGATTGGTCATCATTTTACGATTTGTTTAATACGCTCGTCCATAATAACGGGTCATTGAGTAATGTTCAACGGCTCCATTATTTGAAGACAAGCCTTACAGGAGAAGCTGCTTTGGTTTTGAAGCACATACAGGTAACGGAGTCTAATTACGAGCAGGCATGGAATTTATTGAAAGGTCGATACGGTAACAAACGTATGACTGTGAATGCGATTATGAAGAGGTTATTTTCTCAGAAAAGGATGACAGTTAATTCGTCGAGTCAAATTAAACATTTACTAGACACAACTTTTGAATGTTTACATCATTTGAAAAATGTAAATGTGACAACTGACAATTGGGACACACTTGTTATATTTGTTATTGTGCAAAAATTAGATCCAGATACACACAAGGACTGGGAGGAGCACGTGAGTAACAGTTGTCATGATCCAGAAAGCCTACCGTCGCTCGAAATGTTTCGAAAATTTTTGGAAAGCCGTTTCCGTACGATGGAACTAATAGAACCTCAGAAACAAAAAACAAATACCATACGAGAAAAATCTTTTCATAGTTCAATTTCTGAGAAGGTCTGTATCATGTGCAAGGAAGGTCACAAATTGTGTCATTGTAAAGAATTTGGCAAAATGCAACCAACAGAAAGAGGTGAATATGCAAAAAAGAACAATTTATGCTTTAACTGCTTAGGAGCGGGTCACTCCGCAACAAAATGTCGCATACCGTTGACTTGCCGCATCTGTCGCAAACGTCATCATTCGCTCTTACATCAAGCAAAGCAAGAAGTCACACTGGGTCAAACGAGCAACTCACAACCAGTGTCACAATCACATGTAAGTGTAGAGGAGCCAGTTGAAGTCAACATGATGATTGCTTCACATTTTACTGCTAAAAGCAATATAGCTCTCTTAGCAACGGCAGAAGTGATTGTACGAAGCACGCAAGGTCATACAACAATTTTGAGGGCCCTTGTCGACCAAGGCTCTCAAGCATCCTTTATAAGCGAAAGGGCAGCACAACGCCTTAAAACCACACGGCAATCAGTCAAGGGAAATGTAGTTGGCGTAGGATCTACAAGTGTTGGCATAAAACAAGTAGTGCAGTTGGAACTACAATCACGTTGGGATTCAACCTTTAGTTTAGAAATACAAGCTTACGTGATGCCCAAGCAACTAACTACTAAGATACCTACCAAAACTATAATATCAAACAATTGGCCACATATAGATGGACTCAACCTGGCAGATCCTAGATATCATATACCAGGTTCAATCGACTTACTTCTAGGTGTTAGAGAATATGCGCAAATATTACAACAAGAGCTTATCAAAGGTCCGCCAGGCACGCCATGTGCTCAAAGAACCAACCTGGGCTGGATTTTATTTGGAGATATAAATACAAATACACAAGAAAATGACGTTTTAGTTCTACATCATCAAGTAGATGTTGAAGAATTACTGAAGACATTGTGGGAAATAGATACAGATCCGAAGAGAAAACTTACCAAAGAAGAAAGAATTTGTGAAGAAATTTATGAAAAGACTTATTCTAGAAGAGAAGATGGAAGATATATAGTCAAGTTACCATTCAAAACAGAAAGCCCGAAATCAACCGAAGGATTAACACGCCAAACAGCATTAAACAGATTAATACAGTTAGAGAGAAGATTTCAAAGGTCACCCCAGTTAAAAAAAGAATATATTGAAGTTATTGAAGACTACAAAAGGTTAGGTCACATAGAAGAGGTACCAATAAATGAAATACAAACAAAAAGGACGGTGTATCTGCCACATCACCCTATTTTGCGTGAAGACAAAGAAACCACAAGAATACGTGTAGTCTTTGATGCTTCGTGCAAAGGATCTAATGGAGTTTCACTGAACGACGAACTGTTAATGGGACCGGTCATTCAAGAAGATCTTCGAAGCATAATCATGCGATGGCGATTACACTGTTTTTGCTTTGCATCAGACATTCAGAAAATGTATAGAATGATATTAGTAACCAAGGACGACAGAGATTACCAGAGAATCTTATGGAGAAGTGACACTTCGCAAGAAGTTAAAGATTACCGGTTACTTACAGTTACCTTCGGAACAACGTCAGCACCTTACCTGGCAGTAAGAACGCTAACGCAACTGGCATTTGACGAAGGAGATAAATATCCAGAAGCTGCTCAGATCCTTCGAGAAGACTTTTACGTAGACGATGTTTTATCGGGTGGCGATACAGTAGAAGAAGTCATAAAAATCAGTCAACAGCTAAAATCTCTACTTAAAAGTGGTTGCTTCGAACTCAAAAAATGGTCTTCCAACAGTGTCGAATTCATGAAGTCAATAGAACCAAATGAAAGATCTTCCAAAGCACACATAGATCTCAAAATGGATGGAAAAATTAAGGCTTTAGGTATTCTTTGGAACCTAGCCACTGATGAATTTTGCTATAACTTTCATCTCCCTGAAAATTTATCAATTGTAACAAAAAGAACCGTCCTGTCAGATCTTCAAAAAATATACGATCCTTTGGGATGGATTGCACCGAGTGTCATCATGGCGAAAATGTTTGTACAAAAATTATGGCTGGAAGGAGTTGCATGGGATGACAAAATAAGCTCCATCCTCGAAACAGAATGGTTGACATTACGAGCAGACTTCCAGCGCATCAACGAAGTATCCATACCAAGATGGTTGCACACAATGAAGTGTAACAAACAACAGATACAAATTCACGGTTTTTGCGACGCATCATCACGTGCTTATGGAGCAGCCGTATATTGCAGAGTTGTGAAACTCGACGGTACTATAAAGACAGCTCTCCTTGCAGCGAGAACAAGAGTGGCCCCTTTGAAAACCGTGACTTTGCCACGCTTAGAGCTTTGCGGAGCTGTTCTACTCTCCAAACTTCTTAAACAAATCGGTCTGGCAATGAGAATACCATCAGCTCAAATATACGCGTGGACAGACTCGTCAATAGTTCTGTCGTGGTTGTCTGGTGCACCTAATAGATGGAAACAATTTGTTGCCAACAGAGTTATAGAAATAACCGATAATGTTAACAATAGTCAGTGGCACCATGTACTATCTCTTGATAACCCCGCCGATATTGTATCCAGAGGCATGTTAGTGACGGAATTAAGACAGTGCAAGTTGTGGTGGGAAGGGCCAAAATGGCTTTCTAGAGATAAAATAAGATTTGAAAGACCGAACATAGTACCAATAAATTTAGAAGCAAAAGAAACAATTTTAGTAAATTTGAAGATAGAAACTAAAGAACAAAATGAATTAACTTTGACAAAAAAAATCACAAATTTTAATACTTTAAATGAATTATTAACAACAATAACATTATGTAAAAGATTCCTAAACTACAAGAAACACTCTGATATCAGTATTCCAATAACAACAAATGAATTAGAAGATGCATTAATTTTGTGTATTAAGATTGTTCAAAGAGAAGATTATGAAGAAGAAATAGAATCTTTGAGAAAAAATAAACAAATAAAAGGAAACAGTAAACTAAAGAGTTTGAATCCTTTCTTAGATGAAAATAATATTCTCAGGGTGGGCGGAAGGCTAAGACTTGCTGATTTAGCAGAATGTAGTAAACATCCCATAATCCTAAGCAATAAGAACAGTCTTACACCTTTAATTATAGGTGATGCACATAAAAGGACACTGCATGGAGGTGTACAGTTGATGCTGTCTTACATAAGATCAAAATATTGGATAGTGAGAGCAAAGGGCTTAGTCAAGAAACACATTCATAAATGTTTAGTATGCGCTAGACAAAGCGCCACAACCAGAACCCAAATAATGGGAGATCTACCACAAGTGCGAGTGACTCCAAGTCGAGCCTTTTTATATAGTGGAGTCGACTTTGCTGGCCCTCTTCAAGTTCTAACATCCAAAGGCAGAGGTGCCAAGACTCACAAGGCCTATATATCAATTTTCATCTGTATGGTTACCAAAGCTATACACCTAGAATTGGTGGGAGACATGACGTCAGAAGCATTTATAGGAGCATTTAGACGATTTGTGGCAAGGAGAGGAAAATGTATTCATTTATACAGTGATCAGGGCAGAAATTTTGTTGGAGCGAATAAAGAATTAACACAAGCTTGGAAGGAGGCTTGTGCAGAATTTACTGGTCATGTTGCAGCACGTCTTGTTTCCGAAGGCACACAATGGCACTTTATTCCTGCTTACAGTCCTAATTTCGGTGGCCTTTGGGAAGCAGGCGTTAAATCAATAAAACACCACCTTAAAAGAATTTTGTCGACTAATTTAACGTTTGAAGAGATGACCACCCTCTTGTGCCAAATTGAGGCTTGCCTCAATTCTCGTCCTTTATGTCCAGTGGATGAATCCGATACTGATCAAATTGAGCCTCTTACACCTGGACATTTTTTGATTGGAGAAGCCCCAATTACTATTCCCTCTCCAAGTTTAAAGGAAGTTAAAGTGCACTATTTAACACGATGGCAACATACACAAAAGCTGTTGCATGATTTCTGGTCACGCTGGCAAGCAGAATACCTCTCCAGGCTTCAACAGAGACCGAAGTGGCTAAAGCAAAGGAAGGAACTGGAGAGAGGAGACATAGTGCTAATCAAGTCGGACAATCTCCCTCCTGGGAAATGGGCTCTAGGACGAGTGACAGACAAACACCCTGGCCCGGATGGAGTGACCAGAGTGTACAGTGTAAAAAGTGGTGATAGTGTTGTTAAAAGAACTGTAACAAAATTATGTTTACTACCTATTGATTCTCAACCATAAATATGTTTATATTATTATTGTAAAAGCATGGAATAGGTTCGCGTTTTATAAAAATAATTTTATAATGAAAACTCAATTTTCATTTTCTTCTTTTATTTGATAAAGGACTTAGTAGTCCTTTGGTGGGCGGTATGTTAGGTTTATTTACTCGAACATACACATGTACATACAAAGAGACATAAATATTATAAACATACATCAATGCATAATATACGTACACGTAACAAATGCTCACAAACACATACATAATAATACGTATACCACTCCTAATCCATGCTTAGCGAATTTAAAGGCTAATTGTTTATTTTACAAATGCAGTCTGAATAAATCGTTACTAAAGAACACACGCCTCTTTCTGTCAAAATCAAGTAAATCAACAGTGTACCTTAAGAACACAAACAGTGAGATACCACTTCATACTGACGAGAGAGGTAAGTTTAATGTGTTATTAAGGGTTACAGTGTAGGTCAAAGTATATAATTATGTTTTATAGTAATACGCCACGTTTTTTGAAAATTTGAGCCGCTTAGCTCAGAATCCGTGTAACACTACGCTAACACTTAGTTAGCGTAGTTTAGTGCGTTCGTGTATACTTGTTCGTTTGTAAAATGTACTACTTAGCGACTTTACCGTTGTAAATACTTATGTAAAAACGAGTGTTAATTAGTTTATTGATGGTACCTTGAGTATATTTTTAATGTACATGTTTTTTACAATAATATTCATATGATTTTAACACATTATCCCTATTGTTATAGAATCCTCGCAATTACCTGCTGAAGTTGATAATCCTGAATTCGTGGTTTTGTATAATCACGTCATGTTTGAAGAGCCTATTCAAGAGCATGATTATTCTATAGTCAGTTCTGCAAGCCGAGATATAGAAAATTACAAAAATGATGTAGTATTACAAGATATAAATTTGAATAACTTGGGGCTCCTAAAACTCCACTTAATATTTATTCACCAAATGTATTGACTTCAACCCAAAATCCTTCTCCATTGACATTAACTCCACCAATTATCGATCACCTTTGTTTTCATTCGTCTCTAATGATCCTTCTGACAGCATAGATAATACCCCCGTACCTTCACCTTATAGTGATTTTTCGGAATCTTCACAAAGTTTAAACGGTACTTTAGTGCCGACTTCTTGCCAAGAAACCGAAGATAGAACACTCAGGCCAGAAATCAGTACGTCCTTCCAGGAAAGTCTTCCCGATTCGCATATGGTTAACTGCCTCAGCAATAACACAGATTCAGTATCGGCAATATCTACTCCCTGTAATTCAATTTCCTCGCCTGCAACGTTTAATTATAGTGACTATTCTGCAGTATCGACCTCAAAAAATAATAAACGTAGATCTAAAAAAAGAACTGATGTGGGTCTCAAACGTCTTAAACTTAAAGATGAGTGGATAAGTAGAAAGAGAAAACGTTTGTGTAACAAAGGATTGCAGTATACTACGTCAAAATGGAAAACTAAAGCACCAAGAAGCATTAAAGTCAGTTGTGTCAATTGTCGTCTGCAATGCTATAAAAAAATAAGCCAAGAAGTTCGTATTGACCTTTTTGATAAGTTTTGGGATACTGGTGATCACGCAAAACAATGGCAAATCATTGCCAAATATGTAATACAAAAAAGTAAAAAGACTGCCACTAATGTTGAAAGCGAATCTAGTCGTCGATCACACACTTTGCATTATCTCCTTCCTATAAATTCTGACAATGGTATCATATTACAAAAAGTTTGCAAAACAATGTTCTTGAACACTTTTGATATTAGTAAAGATTTTGTGTATACTGCAATATGAAAAATCGAAGAAAACAATGATTTTACTCATGTAACTGACGACAGAGGTCGGCATAAAAACCATAACTATTCAAATGAAATGAAACAGAGTGTCAAAGATCACGTTAATTCTTTCACCCCTGTTGAATCTCATCAATTTGTTCATAAGCATCCACATTTATTTCAACGTAAGTGTGAAGTGAGTGAAAGTAAGGGTAGATACAAGAATAGGTTATATGCACCAGCAAATCGTCTAAAAGTTACAAAAAGAAATGCTTCTGCAATGTCGATAAGAATTTATAATAAATTACCTGATAATTTTAAGCGTAAAAGTTTATTGTCATATAAGAAATCTGTTTTGGCATTGTTGCTCACTAAATGTTATTATTCTGTAGAAGAGTTCTTAAACGACAACGACCTACATACGAGTAATGAATGATAATTTTAGAATATGATTAATTACATAATTACAAGATTCCAATGTTTAAAAAAATAATGTTTTTGATATTATTTTATATAAAATTTGACTTATGTATTTAATTAATTAATAAATTTGATGTAAAAATAGAAAGAAATTAATGACAATTGGATATGTAACATTATTTAATTATTGACATAAGAATAATAATTAATATATGACATTGACCTATAATAATAATCTTACTTGACATAATAATACTGTTACGCGCCACTATTAATGTCTTGTACATGGCAACACTAGTTACAGTAGCGCCCCCTAGTGTCGAGTAAATGAAAGTATTGCGCGCCACTATTAATGTCTTGTACATGGCAACACTAGTCACACTAGCGCCCTCTAGTGTCGAGTAGCAGAACTAGGAGAGTCGAGATCCTTCCAGAAATTTCGGGACCGATATGTACTCGAACATTCTAGATGTCGCTACAGTAGAAGGTTCTGGAAACTATCTGAGGCTCTATATAAGGCCGGTATAGACCACGACCGGGGCAGTATTGAATTGGCGATACAAGAGAATACTTCGAAGCGAAATAACGGCGAACTGTGTTTTATTATTAGTGTGATTTTAGATTGTAATTAGTGTTGCGTAATTAAAGTGTCAATTTTGGTAATTTAATCGGCAGTTTTTAATTGTCTTGAACCCCAAGCTCGTAACAATTGGTGTCAGAAGTGGGATCAAATATGCCGATTTTACCTAAAGACGACACGGAGGGTATCCGTACCCGAAGTCAACGCCAACAGGAGACGGACCAGAGACGATTTGGTAATGCAACGCTGCAAACGTCGGAGGGCCAGTTGCTAACCACGGAGGCTGGCCCGTCAGCAGCTCCTGCATCTGCAGCACCTGACTTGGGTGCTCTGATGATGATGCTGCAGGATCAGGCTCGCCGACAGGAGGAACAGGCCCGCCGACAGGAGGAACAGACCCGTCGGCTGCAAGAGCAGCTGCAGCGCGGTATGGAAGAACAGATGCTCCTCAGGAAGGACCTTCACGCTACCTTCGGGAAAGAGATAAAGGAGGTGAAGGATAGGGTTGCTCAACATGACAACCGCCTGTCGGAAGCTGAAACCCGAATCGACCAAGTGAACAATCGGGTTGACAACGTGATGGCTGATGTGAAGAAAACGCTGGACGACCTCAAACTTGGGGATGGAGTTACAGCTCCCGTGGTAGCTACAACACCTTCGCTACGTGGATTCAAAGTGCCACCGTTCGACGGGACTTCTTCCTGGTCGGCCTATAAAATCCAGTTCGAGGCTGTCATGAAAGCGAACGGCTGGAATAAAAGTCAGTCCATGACTGCTCTCACCCTAGGCCTGCGCGACCAGGCATTAACTGTTCTGGAAGCTCTCGGTAAGGAAGTGACTTACGAGCAGCTCCTTGAGGCATTGGAGGCGAGATATGGCGACGCTCACCTGGAACACTTCTTTCGTGCGCAGCTCAAAGATCGCGTGCAACGCAGTAACGAAAACCTGCAGCAGTGGGCCCTTGAGGTGGAGAAGCTGGTTCGAAAAGCGTACCAGTCTGTACCTGTGCTCATTGTAGGGAACCTGGTGCAGACATTCATCGACGGCATCCGCGACCTTGAAGTCAGAGCTGCTGTGAGGCTCGGGCACCACGAGACGCTTAAGGACGCCTTGACCCATGCACTGGAGGTGGAAGCCGTGCGGCAGGATCATCGTTCCCACCGCGTCAGGGAGGTTGCAGCAGCTAAAGTTCAGGACCGCAATAAAAGCTACAGCCCTAGGTGCTATGGCTGTGGAGAAAGGGGCCATCTTCGATCCAGCTGCCCTAAGCGAACTGTAAAAAGGGAAGGTGATCGATCTCGAGAGGGTAGTGCGGATAATAGCACCGCCCAGCAGCAGCAGGGAAACTGGCGGGTGCTGGCTGATGTTAAAAGAGCCCCAAGGATTTCGATCTCACAAACTCATGATGGGAACAGCCTAATCATCAAGGGCGAAGTCAACGGAACGCCATGTAAACTGACCATAGACACTGGAGCCTCTCGCACGGTTGTCAGTTCCCAACTTATAAGTCGGTTCCTTGGTGACTCCGCATACAACCGAGAACGCATTAATTTGGTGACAGCCACTGGTCAGCGCATACCCGTCCGTGGAGAGAAGGAGATGGAGTTGAAGCTAGGCAACATGATCTACCTGCATAATGTCATCGTGGCTGATATAATGGACGACTGCATCCTGGGCCTAGACTTTATGAGGAAGAATTGTTGTGAGATCGACGTTATGCAAGGTGTTTTGAAATGTGGACAAGAAGAACTTTTCATGGAAGGGGCGTTACCAGGGAATGTGTACAGCCTTAAGAAGATTGTTCTTCCGCCGAGATCGGAAACGATTGTGCCGGTTAGTCTTCCTCGGAGTCCTGGGCAAGCTCATCGTTGTGTACTCGTGGAAAGGGTAGACAATGACCTTCCATGGAAAGTGGCTCGAACCTTGGTCAGAACCACCGACATCTCAGGAGTACGTGTGTTGAACCTTTGTGATCAGGAACAGATTATAGAAAAAGGCACATTGGTTGGTACTAGTGAGGAAGTGGATTGGTTGCGTCGGTGCGAATATCTATCGACCGGGACCCCTAGCAAGGATGGACAAACGAGAGTGACCACACTTTTAGAAGACTGTCGCAGCGTTCTCTCCCCGAATGAAATGGTCAAGGCGAAGAAGTTGTTATTCAAGTACGCCAATGTTTTCTCGTCAAACGAAGCTGACATAGGAAAGACTGGCTTAGTTCAACACAAAATAAACACAGGACAAGAATTGCCTATTCGTCAGCGGCCAAGAAGATTGCCTGTAGCACGTGAAAAGGAAGTGGAAACCATGATTGAGGGAATGGTGAAGGATGGTGTTATTGAACCTTCATCTAGTCCATGGTGTTCACCTGTGGTGCTGGTAAAGAAGAAGGACGGCAGCATGCGGTTTTGTGTTGACTACCGCCGCCTGAACGACGTTACGAAGAAGGACAGCTATCCCTTGCCTAGAATTGATGACACGCTGGATATGCTCACAGGCGTAAAGTGGTTTAGTACGCTGGACCTGAAAAGTGGCTACTGG